GTAATACCCACGAAGTATAAAAGGTAAAAACAAAAAACACATACATATGACTATTGTTTAAAGTAAAAAGGCAGCGCTTGTTCAGCACATCCTGCTTGTTCAGCAGGCGCCTTTATTGCTTTACACAATATGTTTAAAAAACAATCCAAACAATGAAAACCCCAAATCCACATGAACCCCAAATGTCATGGTAGTGGCTTTTGGTAATGAAATGCACTTTAATGGTTCCGACTCCGACATCGAACTGGCCTGTCCAAACGGTTCAAAACACTCATGTTCACTGGCCCCTCTGAGATGCTCAAAATGTTGAGTGGGACGTCTGACCGTCAAAACTCCATTCCTGTTGAGATCGGATGAGATCTGCAGGTCATGACAGTCATGACAGTCAGATGAACACGGATTGGGCCATTCCATCCTGAGGATGGATTCTTCACCTCATCTGTATCCAAAAAGGTTTCCGCGCCTTTTGGGACTTGGAAGCCCGTAAGTTCCAATCTGCTGAGGGACCTCTCACTTCCTTGTAGCCTTCAATCCGGATGAATTTGGATGGCCGAGCGAAGGAGTTCATCCACGACAAACCTCACGGATCATGACTTGGTTCATTTCCTGCTTGAGCAGCCGGCCTCCTGGGTTGATTCTAGCTACAACTGCCCTCTCCACCATCGGGACTTTGCCCATAAACTCTAAGTCTCCATGCATGAGGTGGGGAGACACGTCTGATCTCCTTTCCAGCGTATGAACTAGGATCCCAGTCAATACTCGCGACTGAGACTGGGTCAGTCTGTGACGATGACCTTGCCCTGCTGGTCAAGCTGACATTTCTTGGCTCGAAAAGGTGTTCGAGGTTATGCACTTCCTCGACAGGATTCATCAGTTCACTATGTGTTTTGGATGAACAGGTTTGAGGCAGCTGCCAGCTACAAGATCCAGGCGTGTTAGGCGTTTGCCAAACAAATGGTCTTTGGAACTTGAGCCAGTTCTGAAGAGCCAAACTCAGCTCCAAGCCAAACTCATCAGTCCATAAATAGACGCTTGTAGGATATATAATAAGTTTGTCCAGAAACGGTCCATCATAGGATCCTAGCCATTCCCATATACATCTCTTTTGTGGCTTCCAACTTGTTGCTCCTTTCTACGCCAGGACTGCTCCGAACCGCCGAACCCCCTGTCACTCTGCACGGATTCGTCCGGCCCGCGCGACACTGCGGCGTCCGACGCTGCGGCGCCTCCTCGCCGCATTTCCGTTGCAGCAACTCCTCGAGTCGACCAGAACACTGGAACCACCGGCGGTGTTAGGGACAAGAAGACGCGAGACGCATTCTGACTGGTTTGGAGACGAGGTGAGGTGAGGCGGGTTCTTCCATGTTTCTTTTTCTCTGTTCTGAATTGCCATATCAGACTTGGCATGGCATGGTCTTGGAGGCCATCGCTACTAAGTAGGAGGCCATTGGGCCATTACTACTAATAAAGTAGCAAGAAACTTCTAGGGTGGAGGCCATCGCTCTTAGGTGGAGGCCATCGCTACTAGGGTGGAAATTGGTTGAAGATTCTGCATGCACCAACGGTTGGTGATGGTTGGTGTACTCCAGCTGGATAAGGGCGCGCTTGTTACAATCGAAAAGCCAGTTTGGTTCTTTTCAGCAATTGTTTTTGGATATACAAATATATACCTACAGCATTGTCTTGCAACAGAATCGTCTCTAGCGCCCTCCAAGAGGAACATTATAATCACTGGTGTTTCCAAGAAGTTCTCGCCATATATCGCCATATCAAAGAAATGTCCTCATCTTAGAGAGTTCTTGCCACATGCCTTCCTGACTCCTTTCTCATTTGGCTCCTTCAGAACCCAGTTGATGGAAGGAGGACAGTGCCTCCGAAGATATCCCAAGATGGCGTCTACAGGTCAATGACCCTTTACAGGTCAATGAGTTTCTTCCAAGTGCCGTCAGAACAGTCTCCCTCTTTGTGGCCCCTCGGGGTCCAAAGTGATTGTGATTGAACCAATTATAGGGCCTTTCTTTGGGAAGAAAGATACCAGCATCATCAAGCATCCCAACCAATCCCAACCAATTGCTCTCCGAAACCCATTGGCAACTAGTGTCGCCATCTCCATGTCATCCCAAATCCTTCAATCCCCTCAGTCTCAATCTGCAACAACCGTTCTTCCATCCCCCCAGGTGTCTCCGTTCTATCCAACCACTCCCGAAACACTTCTTCCACCTTCTTCTCCGGAACCGCCTCCCTCCCCAGCCGCTCCCAGCCGCCTGGATGGGATCGCGGGGCTTTCGACACCGTTGCAAGCTGATCACGTCTTCGACGCACACCTCGCCCCGGTGAAACCCGTGGCGGTTAGACCGGGCAGAACTGGAGGAAGAGGAGGAACCGGCGTGGAGCGACGGTGGTCTGCGGTGTGGTCTGCGACCCGCACCAAACGGTGGGGACGGTGGGGTTTAAAACACACAAACATACAGTCACGTGTATATAATGCATAATATATAGAATATGCATGTCAGCAAATGCCAACACAGTTATAATCAATTCACTCAGTTGGAAAACACTACAAATATCATCAAATATCTACAAAGATTGTCACCAGCGGCAAAGCAGGTGTTGTGATAGTCATAGTCTACAGTGTTACTATATAATTGGCCTGTTTGTCCATGGAGGAGACTATGTTGGGCCAGAATACAATCATGTGCGTTCCTCAACAATCATATATAACTCCACAAACGCGTCAAAGCTACACAAAATCGGTGATTATTGAGTTTGTTTTCATGATACCTACATGGTCAATCTCCGACTTGCTCAGCTTCCGTGAACACATCAAGGACCTTGGTCCTTGCTCCACCTGGCTTTTGGTAGGGCTTGACCCCAAAAAAGGTTGGGGCAGGCGATCCACTAACAGTTCTGACAGTTGGCAAGGTTGAAGTACAGTTCCAGTTCTAGACATGGAATCATCCTTTTGGTCCATGGAATCATCGAACAACCAGTTACAAGTCCTGATCATCATGTTTTTTTCCATGACATTTGTCTTCCCCTGGCGTTCTAGAGGGTTATGAGCACTTCCACCAGCGGGACATCCAAAAGGAGCTGCGCTTGGCGAGTTCTAGGAATCTTCCCCCTGGCAGCACTCCTGCTTTTCGAGAATTTGCAGCTTAGGTTGACACTGCCTGCTGCGCTGCGCCTTCCTTTTTGTTCCTCTGCAGTTGATTTGATTCTCACCCAATACTCAGTTAGTGCCACTTGTATCTGTGCTTTATGCTGCATGCTGTCTATGCACTACATTCGCAGAATGTAAATGCAACAAACAGTCTCACGGCTAGATATTACATCCGTGACCCCATTTGCTTAAGTTTCACCTTCAGCATAGAAGGGACCGCTGCATTGTCTGAGCTGGACTTGAGGCACAGGCACACTCCGCAAAGCAGCCAAAAACTGAGTAGAGTTATGTGAGTTGAGTTAGTATGAAAGCAGCTGTGTAAGTTGAGTAGGGTGAAAGCAGTAGTGTGAGTTGCCTTGTGTGGGTTGAATTGTGCGAGTTGATTTGGGTGAGTTTGAGATGAGCTTGAATTGGGTTCACGGTCACTGCTTAGCAGTTGATGAAGGGGTGCTTTTGGGACACCCGGCCGAAAGGAAGGTTCTGGTAGGACGCTTGGAGGCTTGACACATGTCGGGTTTTAGGTGGCTATCGGCCATCGCTAGTAGCTTGGAGGTACCACTGCTCCGGGCTCCTTGCAGGTCCCTGAGGGTCCCACCTGCTCGGTGCTGCGGAGCAAGGCTTCGACGGCCGCCACGGAGCCTCACCGCGCTGGCCCGTGCCACGGGGGTGGAACAAACGTGGGGTGGTGGACGAGTGGTGGGAGCCGTTGACAGGTGATGAGCACGGACTAAACAAATTGATACATGGTTGACATCCAGGACCTTCCCAGTGACCGAACTGTGGAGTCCATCCAGTGACCGAACTTACAAGCCTGTTCGTGACCGAACCAACCAGGGGATCAAGTTCGGTCACTAATTCCAAGTGATACAACCATTCCCAGACGCGACTAACGGGACTGCCACATATGCCGATGAGTTGGTCAATGGGGCGGCAGTCCTATGGCAGTCCCATTAGTCGCGTCTGGGAATGGTTGACAAAGGATAAATATGGATTGACAACACAAGGTCAACAAGGTTTGAGATGGACATGTCAACATTCACTTTCGCACATCCATGGGACTGGACATGATGGATTTGCAGCATGACAATGGCCTAAGATGCCCTAATGTAGGTAGCTATTCCATACATGAATGGTCTAGGTTGTAACATCTTTCTTCTTTGTAAGACTCCGTGTGAGGAACAAACACAGCCATACATTGAGTGGTGGACCCCCGAGTTTGACCATCAAGCCGATCATCAATGCAAGGTAAGACCACCGTCATCCACTTTGCCATTATAAGTAAACCACAACAAACACTAATTTTGGAACATAACCCAAACCGCCCCCAAACCCTCCCCACTTGTTTGTTCCGCGTTTGCACTTCGAGCTGCGCTTTGGACTGAAGTCTGACTGAACTCCGACCCTTCTCCCCAGCCGTGCCGTTGGGATCTGGAAAAATAACACCGGGTTTGAGTGGGATGCCTCCAATTCTTAAAGATCAGATTAAATATCAAAGAGCTTAATAACCAGTGACTCTTCGTGTTGAACGTGAAGCAAAACAAACACATACCAGCCGTCACGTCTCGAAGGTGCGAAAACCACCATGCCGTTTCGTCCGGCGCTGATGACCGAAAACCACCACCCCGTCCGGCCCTGAGCGACCGCTCCAGGTGGGCAGCGCAGTTTCAATCCGCTGGTGCACCGGTTCGGTCGAGTCATGGAACCTCGATCCTTCGGGTTCCACCCGGTGGAACCGGTGGTGAGGGCTGTGTTTATTTTTTCGGAGGGCTCGCGATTGTTCCTTAATGTTATATGTCGTTCAATATTGTGATAGTTTTACAACTACAGTTGGAACGAACATAATCTAACCTGATCTTTGAGGCCGAAAGACCTCACTGCTCCCAATGCTGGCTCTGCCGACTGACCAACCTGCAAGCTCAATGTACATTCCTTGTGACGACTTCACCTGTCCCAGGCTGAAGCCACACGCCAGGCTGTCTGCAGGGTGTCCAGTCACCGCGTCGGACAGCTTCACCGCGTAGCGAAAACGGTACGCGCCATGGCCGATTCGCCCTTGCAGTCTCCGGCCGAGTGCTTCGACGTAGGTCCCTGGCTGCTTCAAAAGAGGCGCAGAAGGGTCCACAGCAAATCCAGCAAGAAGCAAGGCGCCAAAAACCATGATTGGCATCAATGAACAAACATCCGTGCCGACAGCATAACCATCTATATTGTTATGCGTCCATCAATGTAAGCATGTCTGCTGTCAAAAGGAAAAACATCTTGAATACGACCTCCAAAGGACTCTGCTTTTCATCCTGCCTGTAACACTCCACATTGCAAGATGTCGCCCCCACCGAGACCGTCAAAAGAAGGATTGACGTGGTGCTTCGTGGTCTAAAATTCTTAGTCAAACAATGTTTGCTGGGTCACAGCCATTCAATGTGGGTCGGTTTCAATGTGAGTCTCACAGTGTCTGCTCCCATCCCTCCCTTTCTCCATCTTTCTCCTCTCAGCTCCATCCCCAGTTCGGGGCTCCAGTCTTACCTTCCTTTCGGTCTAAAAAGGGTGGTGCCTGCCCCCTTTCCCCTTTCCTCCGCCTCCACGCGAGGTGTGTCGCCGGTCGCGTCCAAGCGACGTTCAACGTACTCGGTGTCCTTCCGATCGGCCCCGGTCGACGGCGGCGCGACTGCCGGTGCCGAGCGGCCGTTCTCGATCCAAGTCCAAAGTGGCAAGGGCGCCCCAGCACGGCCACCCGCCTTGAGGACCGGCCGCAGAAGCTCCTGCGCGGGACCGGACCGGACCAGCCGCGGTCAAAAAGGCGCGGTAGACCGGTACCAGTGGGGGCTGGGGGCATGGGCATTTCGTTTAGGGGGGCATGGGCATGGGTCTATCTCAGTTTTCGAGTTCCCGTTCTTGCTTGTTCTTGCGTTGTCTTTTGGGCGGGGGAGAATAAGGAAAAGGGAAAGGCCGCAATGTACGAAAGGGGGGAGGGTCAGTAGTTTTCTATTGCCCCTTGTTCTGCCAATGACAGCTACGAGTACTAACCCAAATAGGAGCATTCATTGCATACCCTACCCGGCCCTCTTTACTCATAACCTCACCCTCGCTGGAAGCTTCAGTGAAATTTGGATCCTCCAGAAAATTCATTCTTTACCCAATATTTCTGAAATATGATTGAAATGTGATGGTTGGACGAAACGTCTTAAATCTCTAAGTGGACAACACAAAGGAGGAGAGTTCTGGGATGAGGCCGTCGATGTTGCAATGGTTCCCCAAAAACAATTGGATGAACTTCAAATTCTCAGTTTGTTTGTTTGTTTGTGTAAAACAGTTTTACTTTTCACAAAGCAATATATTCTTTGGGCTTTGCTTCTCTTTACTTATTTTTAAGGTAGACTCCTGATTTATCCTCCAGGCCTGGACATGTCAAACCATTCGAGGCGTTTTTGTTGCATCCACTGTCTGCAATGACTCTTGGTATCTCTTGGTGGCCGTCTTCTGCTGTCAGACTGGCAGGATATATACTGGTCATGTCCTTCCGAACTCCCACAGATTCCCTTGAACATAGAGTTCAACTTTTTCCACCTGCACTCCAGCCATATCTTGTTGCATCACTATACCGACACGACACGGGAAACGGGTCGTGAAAAGACGCGAACTCACATGTACACATGTGTTGAGCGGAGAAACCTATCTCTCAGACACTCCATGTATGCCATATATGCCTACATTGACCCCTCAAACCACCCCAATGTAGGTATATATACCATACATGGAGTGTCTGGGTCTGAAAAAAAAAACACAAAAAAAACTGATCCACCGACTGGGTGAACATGTGAGCTTCGACGCATGACCACGCTGTTTCGTTCCGCGCGAAAACGAGCACAAACAACGCGAACACAGCATTGGCCATCATGGCCTCCACCGTACATATCGTTAGCCCCCTCGGAACTCGAAGAGCTCATATCCCCAAGACCGCTTTTGACGTTTTTTGGACCATGCAGTAGATGAAAACCACCTTTTTGACTCCCGACCGGGGATGTAGCATGACGCAAGGCCAAATCTCCGGCCCCGCGACCCAGCTTCCAAAGCAAGTCAACACCTTAAACATCCTTAAAACTAAACCATGTGACTGGAAAATGCTACCACACCTTTACCCCATTTATGAGCGGCAACTTGTATTTAAGCACGAACATGTAGTGGTCGTATATCACCCATCTCGTTCAATATTGTTTTTGACATTGGTGCTCGTTTTCCAAGTTTTCTACATTGTTACATTGTTTGGATGATATTCGGATGAATACAGTAGCATACCACGCAAGGGAACACGTTTCTTTTTCCATTCAAGAATTGTCCGGTAATGAAGTAGACGATGAATCCGAACTGCCGCTGTTGTCTCTAGCCTCTGGATATGCCGCTGTTGGCTTCGGTGCGTTGGTCCTGCCTTGTATCATTTGCAGCTGGTTGGTCCTTTGTTGTCTCTGATTTCCCTGCCATGTCGCCTCTCACGGTGCCCATGCACATTCCAAGAGCACTTTCCAAGAGAGGTTTTCTGTGGCCTGAACTAGGACACGCCATGTGGGGTATCTATGGGATAGTCGAACTAGGGTTCTTCAACCTCTGTTGGTTGAGCCTGCTGTCTGTTTGTCAAGCGAGTTTCACATTCCATGCATCCACTGCGCCAAGCGGACCTGCATCCTCTTGCACTGAAGCAAGCGTCTGGGCTGCTACTGGACAGATGGTTTCTGAGCTTGGTTCCGAGATAGGTGGCATACTTGGATGGCACCATGGAAATGCAATAGGTGCGGGAAGTCTTGAAAGAGGGTTCGATCTGGAGTCTGTCCACCATGGATGGTGGAGGTTGATTGTCAAGAATGATTCTAATCACCGGGCAAGTCTTGTCCTTCCGGTGCTCAGCTGCAAAGTAAATCTGCATGTTTTCATGCAAGGACTTGATGTCCAGCATGTACTTACCATCGGCAAGCACCTTCTTGACTCCTGCTTTGAACATCATTGCTAAAAGCCGCAGTCATGATTGAATTTGAGATGCTTTTGTGACCCAACAACTCCAAGTGATTTCACGACTCATGAGCAGCAAGTGCTTGGTCCCAAAGCGACGACCGGAAGTGGCCTGGCCGTGCCCAGCGCCCGCTGGCGCAGCGCAGGAGTCAACATCTTAGGACCGCTGGCCCTGTGGGAATCAGCATTTCAATCAGAATGACCAACCAAGACCCTCCTGTCGGGGTGTCCATTTAAAGCCCCTTAGCTGTGATTCGGGGTGGTCATTAACCACCCCGACTGCGGGGTCCTGGAATATAATGACTTCACTCAGAATGTGTTCGAATGATGATTGGTCTAGCAACTGTTGATATGTTCCACTGACGCACGCTAGACCAAGATAACTCGCTTTCGAAGTACGGCCTCAGAGGTTTCCTTGAGTTGAAGCCAATGAGGCGAACACCGGTTCCAAGTGTGGAGCTTGCACGCCATCAACCATCAGCTTTTGAACACTTTTGGTGCCCGTTACTGGCTGTGAAAGTTGTCGAACAAATACCTTTTCTTTCCGCCGAGTGGTGCCGCAATGCATGCTGTTCAGAAGTACGCCGACTGTCCGTCCCGCTGGTCTTGCCCGGTTCTTCATCGTGTCTTCTGGGCGAACTGACGAACTTTCCGGGACGGTGCCGTGTGAAAAATGGACGCGCATCCGGGTGAATTGAATTCTTTAAAACTTGGGCCAATGTTCAACCTCCAGTTGCGTGCAGTCATCCCTTTAGCTGCGGTTGGGTTGATTCATGTGTGTTGCAACCCGTCGCCTATATACATCAATAGAAGCCTCGCGGCCTCTCAGCCACTCCCCTGTCCAACCACTTGTGGATAAAACACATCTTAATGACCATATTATTCCTATAAACCAGGGAACATCAGCCACCAAACCGGGCCAAATCACCCTCACCATGCCAGGAATATGGGCACTTCCAACCGCGCAACGCCTCACCCTCCATGCGCCGACGATCGCCCTACGATCTCCTCGACGTGGAGGCGCCGCAGATCTTCGGAGAGGCAACTCACCTGCTGATGGCGCTCCGAACCCCGCTGAGCCCAGTGACACACTCCCCAATGAATGCCGGTGTGGGCCTGCTGCACAAAAGTGGAATCACCTGCTGGATAGGACGTGACTTAAGTGACATGTCGCTTAATGTTTGAACGGTTTTGTTTGTTGATAAATCTGATAATATTGGTTGTAGGCGCTTGTTTGTTGATGTTATATAACTAGCTACAGGAAGGCTTCTTGAATCCTTTCTTTACACAAGTTTGGTGCAAGTCTTTGTAAAACCCTTACATCCGGATTTGGAATGTAACTCACTTGAGATCCGTGCTATCTTTACACAGGGCTGTTGGATGGCGCACTTGAGGCACAAACACAGCAGCAAAGTTTCAACATGACATTCTCTTCTTAGCTGGCAGCGTTGCAACTTTCAAGAAAACAACTCTTGTCACTGGTAGAGGGACGTTTTCTCAGCTGACAAACTATACTACCTATATGTATCTATATGTCAGTTTCAGGGGTTGTTGGCCACTTGTGAAGACACATGCTCAAATCTCTTCAATGTCATGCACTTTCACACGTTCATAGGGTTAAAGGTCATCGTATGTCATCGTACTTCCGGCGATAAAACAGACTCCTTCAGTTTCCCACAAAATCACCTTGTTCCGCAGACCGTACGACTCTTTCGGGGAAACTCCTCAGAAATCCCCCCAAAACATAGCGAGCTGCTCGGTGAGATCACACGTTTCAAAACCATCCAAAACCCCATCGCTGTCCTCCCCCGGCGCTTCGCTTCGCCTCGTCCAGCAGTTCGGTCACGATCCGCGGCGCCGGACCGGCGCCTGGCGAGAGCGGCCGGCAGCTGCGAGGCGCTCCGTTTTTGGGGGTCTCAAAAAGGTCGGTTTAGCGCTGTGAAACGGGGTGGAAGACCAAAGGCTTCAGTCTGGAAAGGCCGGACTCTTTGCAGAAGATGACGGTGTTTTGATTCCAGAAAGAATCCCTGCAAATGGAAGGAAACTGGTGAATGGATTCACTTGACCCCGGAGCTTCAGATCGATTTTGGGACAAATCGGACGCTGACACATTCAGAGGAACACACTCGGAACAAAGAGGGTGCCATTGGACACGGGTTCATTCACGAGTTTTTGGGCAGTACATCACTGTTCCTTGGGTAGGTGTACATGAACCAACTAAGAATTGACCATAAGGAGGACCCCTTTCAGACGTGAATTGTCTGCAGTGATTTGCAATTCAGAAACACCCAGCTCCCTCCAGGCGCTTGATTGAGGGGTTGCAGACCCTCGACTTCGATCGAGTAGCCTGAGACCCTGGGCTTTACTGATTCGAAATCAGTTACACTGATTCAA